TTCCTGAAATGTATACAATTGTTAGTCCAATGTCCATACACATTATGAAATTTGCAATATTTTCGACCATTCCTTTGTTCTCGCAGACGGCAGTTTATGATCATCACTCAACTTAATCTGTTTGTCTTTCAATAAAATATCAAAGATTTTGTCCGCTTTTGTTACATCAAAAGTATATGTTTGATTTGCCATTTTATCTTTTACTTCATTTTTTTGTAGCAATTTACGTGTATATGGAGCCCCTACTTTGAGTTCTCGCTAAGTTTACTTTCTCATCGACAGTTTCTTCGATATCACTTTCTCGTCATATTATCTCGTCTCATATACATCATTTATGTATGCTATTCTTTCCTTTTTTAGAGGTTTCTCATATTTCTTATACCTTTGTTTCTCATATTCGATTTGTTCCACTCTTCTCACTTTATCAGCTAATTGAGCCATGTCATTTAATGGTAAATTGACTAGTTTTTTCCTAATCGAGAATTCTAAACCTGCAGAGGCCATTCTGACTAATTCATATTCAGGAATTTGAGTGAAACATCTCGATTTCATTTGTCTAAATCGATTCAAATAATCATCTATGCTTTCATGATTGTATCTTTTTATATTCATCAAGTCGATGAGACTCACTTGAGTTTCTCCTCTAAAAAATTGTTCATGAAAATTTCTTTCCAATTGCAGCCAATTATATATCGAATTAGGTGGCAATGACGTGAACCAAGTAAAAGCATTCTTAGTCAAAGAACTAGGAAAATATTTCATTTTTAATTCTTCACTCATCGCTAAATCCCCACATTCGATCTGATATCGAGCCACGTGCTCGATAGTTGATTCACCAACTTCCCCAGCAAATTTAGTGAATTTGGGTATTTTATATCCTCGAGGCAATTCTGTCTCGAGAATCGCATTTGGAAAGGGAGACACAAAATATGTCTGATTGGGTGGTCTAAATTCCATCCCTTGTAAATTCATCCTTTGTCCCAACATATTATTCTGATTGTGTATGTTTTGAAATCCTTCGTTCAAATTCCCATAAATATCATTCCTCACATTTTGATACTCATTTCCCATACGCTGTTGTTGATCATTGTTTCTATTTCTTCTCAATAGATATGGGGGATTAATATTAGTATTCTGATTAGCATGATTTTCTATCCTCGTTTGTCGAGGCACGACCAATGCATCCCCGATTCGTGACATTTGGTCTCGCTAATATCTCAAAGCTAGCAAGTAGTGTTTTGCACTAATGGATTTAAGACTCGTAGTCAATTGTTGTGATAACATATTCACCATTTCAAAATTACTCTCATCCATTTGTTGTCTAAGTACCCCTAATGAATTACTAGATATTCCGGTACCCATATTTTCGATAGAATCAAAATTAGATCGATGATAGTCTCTATCGAACACATGTCTCCCATGATCTAAGTATCCCTCCGATCTAGATTTGGAGGTATCTCGTTGTGTGCCTACATTCTGTCCATTCCCCGAATTCGGGGAATTACTAAATTTTGCGACGTCCCTACATTCGGAGGGATTCCAAAATTTTGTGGCATACCTAGTGTTTGGGACATTCCTAAGTTATATCTCGAATTCCTATGCGTTGAAGAAGTTCCAACCCCACTCACATTATTAAGTGAAAACCCGGGCGGTCTTACACTCATACGTGGCCCTACATATGTGGTTGTGGGATTTCCTATAGTTTGCATATTATTTGGTATCACCGTACTAGATCCTACTTGGGTGTTTGCTAATGTACCTGAATTTTGTTCACTACTCACAGGTATCGACATGCTCACAGTTGTCGATACTACAGGTGTGTTCCCATTATGACTTTGCCCCCCAGTATTTGGTGGGTGTGATCCATTTAATCCCTCACTGTTACCCTGGTTATTCGATGAACTCTGACTCATGACCCTCCCACTCCTTAATCTCATACAATTTCGAACTAACCAATTCTCAACACAAGACTCCCCTACCTGGTGCGCCAATTTGTTTCTGGTGGAATTTCGATCGATTTCGATTCTAAGGGTATTTTAGTCTTTAATCGAAATCCTCCCACGTAAGTTCTTTTTACTTAGGCTAGCAGTCTGATTTTCAATCGAAAACGTGTATGAGAATCGAAAACTACAGGATATCGAAAATGCTGTTTTTGGTGTTTTGTATTTAAAGTATCGAAAGCATTAAGACTATCGAATCGAAAAGCAGAATATTAAATTGCGAGGAAATGTAAATTGCGAAAACCCCAAACTTGCATTAATTGTAAATAGCAAGAAATCGAAAACAACGCAAATATAAATGACAAGAAATCGAGATTGCAAGAAAAGTAAATGACAGGAAATCTAAATGCAGAAACTCAAATTTTCATTGAATTGAAATGGACAAGGAATCGAAAATACAGAAACATAAAACTGCTGAATTTAAGTTGCGCCAAAGTAAATTACCAAGGAAAATACAGAAACATAAAATTGCTGAATTTAAGTTGCATCAAAATAAATTACCAAGGAAAATACAGAAAGCAGTAAATGTACTCAGTGAGCAAGGAAATCCAGATTGCCAGAAGCTTCATGGTGTTCGTCGTTTCTCCGGTAGACTTTTCACTACTGATCCTGTTCTCTGCCAATTTCTGCCCCCCCTGTTCCTTCCTCCTTTGCTCTATTTATAGGGCATCCTTCAAGCCTTCCGAGAGCAGTTAACGCGACTGCTACCACGTTCTACGTGTGTATGGCAGTTTATCTTCTATAGTTTCCCACGTTCTCACGATCTCTAACTTTTCCCATGATTTCAAAATTGCTCTTTATACGTACATTCGACTTACTTCCTTTCACGATTTGGCCAAAGTCTCGATGTCCATATTGGTTTTCTTTTCTCTCGATTCTGTATTTTTCGAGAACTTCGAATTGCTTACGATTCCTTTTTAACCATGGTCTTATGTGACTTAGTTTTTATTCGACAACAGTCATTTGATTATAATTCATTCGATTCTCAATTGTGCTTCTCGATACTATGTGCTACGTATTTCTAATTAGACATCGAATGAATTTTTGTTTATCTTATCGAGTCACATTTCTTTTCTTCGATTTCGATCGTTTTTCTCGATTTGCCACTAACACAGGTATAAAATTCTAGTATAAAATAGGTAGAGGCTGAAAATATATATATATATATATATATATATATATATATATATATATATATATATATATATAATTATATTAATCAATTTTAATTTTTTCGCATTTTTAAGAGTTGGGATTAAGGGCTTTTTCACTAAATTTGTTAAAAAAAATTCAATTTTACTGAAATGGGACAAATTTTTAAAAATTTACTAAAGAGTTAAATCATGTTACGTTACACCATTTTAAATAAAAAAAATAGTATAACATGATAAAAAAGCTAAAATCGAGTTTTTTTTTAACGTATTCAGCGTAAATTTTTTTATAAAACTAAAGTTCTACTACGTGGTATGACTTTGGTTTTAGTTTTTAAAATATTTAAATTAATTTTATTAAATAAAATATTATTTAAAAATTAATAATTTATTTATTATTATATATTTATATTATAAAATATTATATTAATAAATTTAAATTATGTTATATTATTTATTTCAAAATTAATAATATATATATTTTTGTTGTTTTTTTATAATTAAATTAATTTTTTGAGATATATATATATATATATATATATATATATATATATATGTTTTCTTATAATTATAATTTATTTATTTTTTATATAAATATATTTTTATATATTTTTTATAAGTTATAAAATATAATATTAATTAATTAATTAATTATTTATATTAATTATTATTTTATATAAACTTTGTATAAGAATTATATAAATAATAAAGATAATATATATATATATATATATACAATATTATTATTATTATTATAAAATTAAATAATATATATTTTAAATGACATGTATTTAAAATATTATATTAACTATTTATTTTATATCAATTTTTTAAATAATATATTTATTTAAATAATATTTGTTATTAATTTTAAAATAAATAATATAATATAATATAATTTAAATTTATTAATTTAATATTTTATAATATAAATATATAATAATAAATAAATTATTAATTTTTAAATATTATATTTATTTAATAAAATTAATTTAATTATTTAAAAAATAAAACTAAAGTCGTACTTAGATATTACGACTTTAGTTTTAAAAAAAAAATTACGTTAAATATGTTACAGAAAGCACGATTTTGGTTTTTTATTACATAATTGTTTTACGTTGCACAATTTCTTTATTTAAAATAATGTAAAGTAACACGATTGAATCTTCTCTAGTAAATTTTAAAAAATTTGACTTATTTCAATTAAATTATTTTTTTTTAACTCACTTCAGTGAAAAAGTCCAAACGTGCTTTTTTTTAGAGAACATAATTTTAGTTGTCCATTCATTGGATTTTTTTTTTCATAAAATAAATAATATCAATATAATTTTATAAGATTCAAACACTTATTTTTATTAATACTGCATCATATATTATTTTGCTTATTTCAATTAAAAACTAAGATAAATAGGTAACAATAAAGATTTAGAGTGAAATCATATGTTCTTAACTACATGCATGGTATATTCATTGATTCCAAAAATTGCATGCAATCACGTTGAATCATTAATCGGGTCCATATCGTGATTGATTAGTCGACATATGCAAATTATTCTACACAACAATTTATGTCGTTATAAAATAATTGGTCCGTGCATAAAATCAGGAACAACCTTCTGAAAATAGCAACCAGTTCTTCACAAATTATCCTGAGCATCTCCTAAAAAGTAGCACAACCCCAAGAACACTTCTGATCACAAACATGTGGTTGCCAAACCTCAAGTAAACGCAATTCTCTACCAAACTTTGCATACAAATATCAAGAGTGAAGGCACTAATCTTCATCTCAAGCTAGAACAATTCTTCATCTTCATTCACTACATTCAATTCGTTAATTACCGTTCAAAAGATGGACCCCCAGAAGATGAGCTACGAGGCTGGACAGGCTCAGGGCCAAGTTCAAGCCCAAACTGAGGTTTTCTAACTCTTCATGCAAATTTAGTCTTTTCGGGTGTGCTCAGTTCTATATGATGTAATTTAAAAAGCCATATATTTTTTGCATGTATTGCAGGAAAAAGCTAACAACTTGATGGACATGGCTAGCAATGCTGCTCAGTCTGCCAAGGAAACCATGCAAGAGGTTCCAATTTTTAATTCATCAAATTGAATGCTTTGTTATTGTGTTAATTTGTGAAATGCATGTGAATATCAAGCATGTTTAATTATACTAGACTAGATCTAATCTTCATTTTTCTTATATTAATTGTTTATCTGTAGGCTGGTCAACAGGTGATGGCCACAGCACAAGGAGCAGCTGATGCTGTAAAGAATGCGACTGGCATGAACAAAAATTGAATTATTTAAGAGGGATGGATGGATCTTGATCATCCAGTTTCACATAGTTTTTTCATCTTTTTTTGTGGTTAGGGCATTCTCTAAGAAGATGCTCTAGTTTGGTTTTTGTTTTTAGTGGTACTCCTTTTCAGGAGAACTCTATGATGTATTCATATTAATCAATAAATATTATTTAGAATATTTCAATACTCCTAGATGTTCATCTTGATTCATAAATGAAACTAAAAGAATCCAATGTGTGATTATTCCTGTTGATCATATATTAAAAAGACTAATGGACTGAATTGTCAGTACAAAAGTACTTTGATACTTCTGTTCCTTAATCAACATTTGGGTTTCATCTCCGACTTGGATATGGAGTTACAATTTTCAGCTCGGTCTACTAAACTTATCAAACCGTTCTCTTAAATCCTTTTCTTTCTTATGTCAATATATTTTGGATCATTGTAGCCCAAGTCAATCAGATTGTAGTGATTGATTGAAAAAAAAAGTTCAGAGTCATACTTATTTGAATTTGCTTTCCCTTCTTAGTTTGTCAGAAATTAGAAGCCAATGTTCACACAATTAATTTCTGTAGAAAATATTCCTATTTTTGTTTTCTCAATAGAGCGAGGGGGGGAATGTGAATTGGCAATAGTTTAAAGAGGGATTCAAGTGCCAGGACTTGAGGATGAACTTGGCAATAATTTCATCATGAACTTGAGCTTCAAACACAAAGATGTAGGCGTGATTTTGATCTCGTGAATTTGAATTAACTGAATCACCTCTGCCCTTTCTTCAATCGAAATATTGTGTGGAGAGTCAAATTAAATGCTGATAGAAGATAGATGCGTGAAGCTTCATATATTTTATGTTGAAGTACACACTTGCATACAAAAGGATTAGTAATGGATGGAATCTTTGCCATAAATAATACTCAGACAAGTGAAAACTGAGAACAAAAATATATTTATATATTCTGATCAAAGAATCTTCTTGTCATCAAAACCAATACCAAAATGGGTCAGAAACATCTATGCCACAAACAACAAAGAGACTATATCTTATTCTGCAATAAAAATTGAAGAACTATATATATTATATATAGTAGGTGAAGCTAAGAATATCAAATCCAATTTAAGCAGAGCCTGATTCACTTCATTGCATTTCCTCGTCAAGTGACTAGTATATTTATTGATAATTATTTTCTCTCCATTTTGGATCTTGGTACATGTAACTCATTCTACTATCAGCAGATGTGTGTCCCCCATCTACGAGAAGATTGTGTGCTGTTATGAAGCCAGACTCATCACTAGCCAAAAACAAAGCAGCCTGTGCCACATCTTCAATGGTTGAACCTCTCCCCTTAAGTAAACTTGCCCTTGTCCCAACCATTTCCTTCAATCGTTGAGGGGTAATATCAACATCCCCGAACCTTCTGTAAGCACTGAGAAGCATCTCAGAGGGAACCCCATGTGGGGATATGCAGTTAACCCGAATCAAATGCTCTCCCAACTCACAAGCAGCACTTCTCACCAATCCATCTATTGCTGCTTTTGTCATAGTATAGCCATGCAAGGCCAAACCACCCAAAATCACTGCAGCACTAGAAGTGCATATGATGGATCCTCCTCTTTGACATTTGATCATTGCCCTTGCAGCATGTTTGATCCCATGTATGGTTCCATGAAGGTTAATGGAAAATAAATGCCTCACTTGGTCCATTTCAAGGGTTGTGATGCTTCTTCCCTCAGGGCCTCCAATTCCAGCATTGCTGAACATGATGTCTAGATGGCCCTTCCATGATAGTGCAAGGTTAATTGCTGATTCAACATCATCTTCTTTTGACACATCACAGTGTATGTAGCGACCCTCTATGGACTCAGCCACATTGGCTCCTATATCATCAAGCACATCAGCAATGACCACATGTGCTCCATTTTCTGCAAACAGTTTAGCTGCAGCTGCACCAATTCCTCTTGCACCACCAGTTATGACTGCCACCTTATCAGCTAGCCTTAACAAGTAATTAAAAACATGGTTAAATTACACAACAAATCTTATTACTCAGTTGAAGCATCTCATGCATATCACATTATTATTGATTTACTTATGAGATTATCAACAAGACAACTGTATACTAACCTTTTTGCTGATGACTTTTGAGTTGCCATATTCTGACTCACGTGTGGCTCCATTTCATTGATGTACTTACTCTTTTATGCATCTTTGCATTCAGCAATTAAATACTTATCACTTTCTGTGTAAGCTTTGGTTCTTGTTTATACATGCTTTTGGTACCTTATAACTACTACTCAACGTCACTTCGCTTTATATTTGTAATTTATACTCTACATATCTTGCATGTTTATGGTTCAGCTAATTTCATTCAAATCTCATGTTTCCCAGAGGTAAAGTAACTTTTTTGAAGTTAAACAGAATAACATTATTGAAGGAAGGCAAAGGAGTAGTTTTTAATCTTCAAAAATATGTTTTATTCAGTATCAAATGAATAAGATAATATCGTACATACGTTTTGTATATCAAAGAATTTAAAAAGAGAATTTTGAAATATATAATTGCTTGATTAATTCCATGGTAAATAATTAAAATAAAGCAAAAGAAAAAAAATATCTTTTCTTCTTGATTAAAAAATATAAAAATCATTAATGGCAGTTTTGCTGACAGATTTGACACTATCCTTTTATCTTACAACTAATAAACCTTTGCTTTTTATTTTTAATCACTAGTTCTATTATTATATATTACTATTATTATTATTATTATTATTATTATTATTATTATATTAATATAATACAGGTGTTTAATGGTTGTTTTATTTGAATACGATCTCTGATATAACATTTAATTCCAAACTTTATTGGAGTAAATCCAAAAAAAAAGTCTTCGAATTTTTTTATAAATAAATCAATCCCTTAAAATTTAGAAAATTAAAAACTCATTCTTGTTCCAATTTATTATCAACGTTCATCATTTTATTTCTAAGGATTACATTTATTAATATGTTGTTGGTTCATGAGAAAGGCTCATAAAATTGATGTTTCTAATTTTAGGTATTATTATAAATATTAATTAGCATATTCTGACTCTGTAATTTTTGTTTTCGATGTCAACGAATTATGCGTAATAAGATAGTTGGTTTTTATTATAATTATTTTTTTTACAAGTTTTTAATAATAATAGCTTTTACGGCCTACAAATAATTTTTTTAACAATGCATTAAACTTAACTTATGTATATTCACTGTCCAAATTTTCGAAAATAAAATATTTTATCTTTTTATTTTTATTTTTTATTTTTGTTTTCGACGACCTTGTGTAAGAACTTAGTTAGGGAAGCCCAACGGTAATAATCAATAGTAACATTGTCCTAATTAGTAAGCCCAAATCAAAATCCAAATCTACAATAAAAAAAAAAAAAATTGCATCTCCTAAAACCCTAGTTACTGTTTCTCGCTCTTTCTCTTCGATTCGTCCTCACATTCAAAATCCCGATCCATTTCGTTTCAAATCAGAATCCCTCCATTCGTTGTTTGCAGCAATGAGATACCAATGGCGTCTTCTTAACCAACTTCTCCGTTTTCGATACCGCATTCCCAATCACTCTCAGGTACTTCCCTCTTCCTCTTCCATTTCCCGCCGCTTCACTGTAAATTCCTCGTTCCCGTTAAACCCTAGCTTCCGTCGTTTTTCTTCCGAACCTGTTCTCGCACTCTCCGATACCGACCACGTCCTCGTCGCCGACATTTTTTCCCAACCAATCGATTCTGACGACGTGAAAAACCTCCTGGAGTCGAATCGCGTTTCGATTACACACGACGCTGTCCTCGCGATTCTTGGGAAGCTCGATTCCAACGTCGACGCGGCGCGGAGGTTCTTCCAATGGGTTTCGGAGAACCACCCCGAGAAGTTGAGCTCCAAGTGCTACAACTCGATGCTGCGCGTTTTGGGGACCAATGGTTTGGTTCACGAGTTTTGGGAGTTGGTCGATTTAATGAAGAAAAAAGGGTACGGGGTTTCCAAAGGTGTGAAGGAGAGAGTGTTGGAGTGTTTTGAGAACAGTGGAATGAATGGTGACGTGGCGAAGTTGAAGGGTTTGTTTGATAAATCGAATGAGAAGAACTGGACAATAGTGAGTAGGATTGTGAGGAACAATGTGTGGAGTGATGATGTCGAGAGACAGATTAAGGACTTGAATGTTGGGTTCTCCGGAGATATTGTTAAGATGGTTTTGGAGGGATTGGCATCAGAGCCGACGAAGGCGCTGATATTTTTCCGGTGGTTGGAGGAGAGTGGGATGTTTAAGCATAATGGGGGAACTTACAATGCAATGGCGAGGGTGTTGGGAAGGGAGGACTCGATTGATAGGTTTTGGAAGCTGGTTGGTGACATGAGGAGTGCTGGGTTTGAGATGGAGGTTGAGACCTTTGTTAAGGTTTTGGGGAGGTTTTGTAAGAGGAGAATGGTGAAGGATTCTGTTGAGCTTTATGATTTTGCTATGGCTGGTGCAAATAAGCCTTCGGTTCAGTGCTGTGTCTTTCTGTTGAGGAAGGTTGCTTCTGGGAAAGAGCTGGATATGGATTTGTTTTCAAGGGTTTTGAAGGTTTTTACCGGAAGTGGGAATGCATTGACTGATTCTATGGCTTATGCTGTGCTGAAGTCTTTGACCAGCGTTGGTAGGACTGGAGAGTGGAACAAGGTTTTGAAAGAAATGGAAGATTGTGGGTTTGTTGCTGGTGGTAATTTACAGAGTAAAATTGCTTTTAGACTTAGTGCTTCTGGTAACAGGGAACAAGCTCATGAGTTCGTGAATAGAATTGAAGCATCTGGGTGTAATGCAGATCGCAAGACATGGGAATCTTTGATTGAGGGGCACTGTGTCGCTGGGAACCTTGATAAAGCTTTTGATTCTTTTAAAGAAATGGTTGAGAAAGAGGGGATCACTTCAGCAGGCTATGCTTTTGAACTTTTAATGAGTTCATTTTGTCAATCGAATAGGGCAATTGATGCATGTAAGATTCTTTGCCGGCTGGTGGATGAAAAACAGCTAAAGCCCTGGCATTCTACTTACAAGCTGTTGGTTACTAAGTTACTGGTTCAGGGAGGGTTTGCGCATGCTTTGACTATTTTGGGATTAATGAGAACTCATGGATTTCCACCTTTTACTGATCCATTTATTGAACACTTGTCAAAGAGTGGAAGCGGCGAAGATGCAATAGTGTTTCTCAAGGCAATGACTTCAAAGAGGTTTCCGTCCACATCTGTGTTTCTTCGTATGTTTGAAGCCTATTTCAAGCACGGCAGGCATGAAGAAGCACAGAATTTCCTCTCTAAATGTCCACGGTACATTCGAAATCATGCAGATGTCTTGAATCTCTTTTGTTCCATGAACTCTAAAGAAGCTGCTTCTTCTGGTATGTTGACTGCTTAAGTTTGCGGAATATATCTCATGTTGTACCCTTCAGAATAATCTGCAATTGCAATTGTTCGGAAATTTTGGTGAGTGATTATTCTTTTTTCCTTCATTTAAATTAATGAAAAAAAAAGTTGAATCTTGCTTTGAATAAAGCCAAACAAACTAAAATTTTTTACATTCTGTAATTTGCCCCCCATGCAAATCGAAATTATTGTATCCAATACCATTATTGATTGAAAGACACCAAACGAATGCTTCGTTGGTGCTTTGAGAACCGTACACTTAGTAGTTCGATGCATCCTGGTTTTACACTGTCAATGTGCATTGTAAATTGAGGTGATGCTATATAAGCAACAATTAAGATGTGAAAAGCTTGCAATTCTTTCCTCGTTATATTTACTTCTGGATGTGTTCAATGTTATCTTGACAAGTTTTTTTAACAAATTCACATGCAACTCTTCAGTATTGCACACTTGTTCCTTCAGTGTTCTTGAACAGCATTACTAGTAGATTGACGATTTAGATACATTATGCAAGCTTCATTTGTAACCCTTTTCATATAGGAGAGTGGGATTTTGATATAATTATACTTTCTACTCCGGATTACGGTACGCCAACACGACCAGGAGTTGCTAAGCTTGGTTAGTTGTTTGTAAGATTGATTTTTGTGTTCTTGACCATTTACATTGGTACATGAGGAGCCACAACTGACTATAAACTGGAGGACGCCAAGAATATTTTGCATTGATTTGAACCTAGACAATAGAAATTGTATTATTTTAATAATTGATAGCTTGTTTGTTGATCATATTCTTCTAATAATTTTAACAGTTACGTCCTGTGAAATCACTCGTGTGGCGCTTTGTTTTAAGACTTGTTGTTTATGGGATTTGACTCGATAATTTTTTTTCATGAGCAAGTGTAGAAATAGAAAATAAGAAAAATAAAAGGAATTGATTTTATTAGAGGTGGTAAAATAAGCATAGTTTGATGTTAGATTATGTGAAAAAATTTATAGTCTAGATCCGAGTTGATTAAGTTATAAGCTGATTGAGTTATAATTTATGTAGATTTAAGTCATGTTAGTTATATAAGTATTATAAATTAATTGGATAAGAAATTTATTTATTCTTAAAAGTAAATATGAAAAAGTTTTTAACAATCATTTATTCTAAATTCTAATAATTAAAATTAATTATTATTTAAAATAATAAATTATTAAAATAAGAATGAAGATAATAAATAATAAGTTTTTAATTATTATTTTGAGATTTAAGGAGTTATTTTTTATAATTTATATAATAAATTATTATATTTAAAATAATAATTAATTTTATTAATATAATTTAAATTTTTAAAAATATATGTTTTTTATTTTATTTAAATAATTTTTTAATTAATTATTTTGGTATAAATATGTTAATATTTTTTAATTTTTAATTAGATTAAATTTGATCATTAATCTGATGATCTAATATAAGATCAAAATTACGTTGATTTAATATAAAATGAAATTATGTTAAAAATTATTATGTATTTTAAATATAAGAATTATTTTAACATCCAATTTTATAAACAATTATTTAAAAAAATTGATTTTAATATTATAATAATAATTTTAAATTATTTTATTTTTATTAATTTTTATTATTATTATTTTAATAAAAATGGGCTGTAGGGACATTCATTTTTAAATTTAGATAAAATTAAGTCATTAATTTATTTTGATTTTATTTTTCTTTAGGATCAAGTTGATCCGACCACCCGCTCTAATTTTGATACACTTCACTACTTGAAAATTTAAATGAATAGAATTATGCCTAAGTTGAAGTCCATTTGTTTTTTCTAGCGTTAACTTCCAAATGGGCCTTAGCAATGGAGTCCATTTGTTTTTTCTATCCATACCTCATTTTATCAATGTTGCACACCAATTTGCTAAGGTGACAAAATTTCAATTCATAAATCGTTAAGTGTTGGATGTGAAGATAGGATGATCAATTCTTCTGCCAACGATAAAGTTATTTCTTATGTTACCTATCCACTCTTTAACGGAATTATTTCTCATTACGGTCATTCAAAAATTAAATAGCCTTAATAAATTACCCTTTAAGGAACATTACTTTGAACATACCTTTCCATGTTTCTCTTTCTAACCATTGTTTGGATATTCTCTTTGCAATTATAAAAAGTGTAGCTTGGGTCCTCACTTTAAAGTTTCATATTGGGCTTCACAAATATTAGCCCCATGGCTAGATCCTTTCAAATCTGGTGGATGTAATCCGGCTTGTGGGGGATGAGAAGGTATATAAAGGCACATTCTTGAGGAGGAAGCAATAAATTTTCCCTTTTATTCATTTTCCTATATAAAATTACTTTTCAAACATCTCACACCAGTAATGCTAGGGCCATTTCATTGCCAGTGCCAATTTGCTTTAGTGTGCAAATTATTTGTACAAAGTCTTATAATTGAACCCAGAAACTACAACCAAACTGTAGTCAAGCCAAATACAACTGTATATTAAAAATAAAAAAAAATAGGATTTTTTTTTGTAATACTTTCTTTGAAGTATTCAAATTTACTTCGTGTGTATGTGTTACAAGAAGCGTTTTTCTCTTAAAAGTAAGATGAATTTGGGATATTAGTAATTCTTAAACAAAGCAAAATAACTCTTTTCAGCAACACAATTGAAAACAAATTACAAGAGAGAACTTCGATTAGGAACAGCAGTTAGACAAAAACTAAAAAACTAGGACCATCAACGAAATGGATTCAATTCTTGCGTCAATTTTTTATGTCCCCAACCATGATTCCATTGATAAAAAAAGAAGAAGAAGCTATTGCCAACTAAGAAGGACGTGTGTGTTTGTGTCTTTTCCTTGGTTGTCATTTGTTTCATTCCCAACCACGGACCACCCTTTTTCTTGTAGTTCCAAAATCAATGACCTAAACTATGTTCCAACTTATAACCACAACCACGTTCTTCCTTTCTTTCAAAGCAAAGTAAGACTCTTCCCTTTTCATGCTACCCACCACTTTGAGCAGAAAAATTGAGGCTCACTGTGATAGTACAATTAATCACCGTGTCCAAAACTAACGTTTACAATGTGAAACTTTTTTATCATTTTTTAACTTTCTTCCAACATTGCCTCAGAAATCGTGTTTTTATGTTTCTCAAGGAAAAAGGCATAATTCGGTTGGCCATTGTACCCTTCCTTAACGAAAAGAATGTAACAATGACCAAACAAGTAGAATAATAATAATAATAACTTGGATGGAAAGAAGTTCCTTATTGTCAAAGGCCAATCAAATTTTGATTTACTTGCCATCACTTTGATAAAGACTTTTGTGATAGTTTTGAACAATGTTCTTTAAGTTCAAACTTTGTTGCATCCCTTATGAAAACATTCTCTAATGTATCATTATGGTGTATGTATCTGAGTCTAGAGTCTAGACAATGAAAATATTGGGGTTTGTTCTCCTAACGGAGCTCACAACAATGCTGCTTGAGACACGGGGGTCATTTTGGTTCCTATCTGCATCAAAGGCCTGAAGGAATTGAGAGAGAAAGAAAGGAGTGTGTGGCGGGGACCAAAGCATGCATATGCTTTTTGTTGTTCTATACTTGCATGCTTTGAGACTGCTAAAGTAACTGTCATGTGGAGGGAAGGAATTTTTAAAATTGGATTTTATTTTCATTTTGTCTATGCAACAAGCATGCGTTTGGTCTTTTTCTGCTCTTTGAATGCCATTTGGCTCCGCATTTTCTGCTTCATTCATTACATAACATCCCATGAGGTTTCTGCTCTTTGCCTTGTAACACTATCTTCTTTTCTACACACAAGATAACTCTATAGTTAATTCAAGTACAAAAAAATAGGTCAATTCTTTGAATGACATGACTGTCTGTTATTGAGCAACTAGTCTTTGGTTATCGACCAAAAGATGTCTTAGGTTCACCAAAAAAAAGTACGGTCGACAAAGAAATTGGTGTGCTCCTTTGTGCCTTACATCACAAAATCTAGGTGCATACTCATCATTAGCTTAACAATATTCACCTAGGAGATTTCAGTTTAGAAATTTGTCGTATCCCTGACTAAATGATATTCAGATGATGATGGAAATTAGATGGATTTTATTGCGGTTTGAGAAGCATATAGAAAATGACTTCATTTGCTCGAAAATACCTCATTCTTCTGGATTGTTTGGCTAAACATGACATCATTTTCATTTCTCAATCCGTGACAGCGTTGCCAGTCTGATAGGCAAACGGGTTGAGTGAGACTTATCAACAAACAAAACGTGATGACTGAAGAGTTGAATGTGACCCTAGAAGCAGCACAATGCTGTCTTATTACATTATATATATACTTATACTAATTTTATTCCTCAAAATTATTTGCCTCGGCCTCAAGTGCTTCTGTGAAGGTATTTTCCTAGTGGAAATGTTTCTTGGAGCTTTGTGCTGTTGCATCTTTAGTCCTTTGGGAAGACTCACAGAACCACAGATAAGAAACAAAAAGACAATTATATTCTTACAGATAATGTGACAAAAAATGCCATCATCTCGTGATGATTAGTAGCTATTGCTTCCCCCAAATCTAATGCACATCAGTTCAAAGACAAGATGGGACCAAACCTGTAAAGAAACAATGTGTGCATCATAAATTAAACTGAACTAATGATATTAATATCGGTATTAGGCTCAATTTCAGCTAAAGGTTAACTATTACTGACCTCTTTTAGATTTGGTTCACTCTATATGGTGCATTGGCATTTGACATGAATACTGATAGTTGATGGTTTATGTTGCCAAAAAGAAAAATTTATAACGTCAATTATGAATAACATAATGGCAATATCTGTTACATACATACATGTGACTCCAAATGGCAGTACACACATGTGACTCAAGGTTTTTGGCTAGATTAGCTAGTTAAGTGTCTCTTGCAAGAACTGAAAGTTATATTCAATCTTCAATTGGATTTGGAAAGGAATTAATTACCTTGCTTTATGTCACCCGTGCTGCTAGATTTAAGATTACATAACAATATTTGTGTAGTGCTGAGAAATGGAATTCATATAATGATTCTAATCATGTGTCTATTCAAACCTTGTCGCTTGAGACCAAAGGTTTTGAGATCTCTTTGCTGGTGGAAAGCAGTTTAAATGCTCCATACATATAACGGTTTCTTGTAGAACTGCTTTTCTACAATACCATATGATTCTATAGGCAATGAATATGTCTTTAGACACTTTTACCAACTCACAACAGCATAGTGTTTATTTGAAAAAACTAAGGTTACAAATTTCCTAGTATTGTGGGTGCTTTACTCGTACATAGAGTAGTCTGATTCGTTTGGTGGAGTATTTATTTTTTTAGTTCTACTTCTATTATGCTGATCAATTTTGGATGGCAATGTTTTGCTTTATTTTACAAATGAGGGAAAGAAAGAAAAATATGAATTTGGATAAGGGAGAGAAAAATCATTTTTTGGGTGGTAAGAAGTGAAATAGGAATAATGCAAAGAAGAAAGAGTGAATAATTGTGGGAGGAGTGGCACAGTATAATGTGGGGTGATCTGTTTTTGGAATCTTTTCAAGATGTTAAAACATCATTCTCACAAAGTAAGAAGAAAATGGGACACTTTGTATAGAGGGTGGAAAAAGCAAAAGTAGGAAAACAGGACAAGTTGTTCCCTCAATCAACCTTCCCCTAACAATGTTTGCTCCATCACTGTCTTTCATCTTGTGGACATAATGAATCACTTTTACTTTCCTGTCAAAGACTCCCTTTGTCACATTTGCCCTGCACTTCAACCACAAAATAATGGCAATTTTATGTTTTTACTTCTCTTGTTTCTTCCTTCCCCAGTTACTGAATTAATCAACACTTGGGTGGTGCAATCAACTTTAGCAATTAACAAGGACTCAATGGGCCTATACTCTATTCACACATCATATTAATTTCAGGTTGTACAACAATGAACAATCTATTATATAGCCTCTGGTAGGACAAAAGTTAATCCAAAATTCCTATATAGTTACTTCAACAATTGATTCTACACATAACCTTATAAAAATTACTTATACATTCAATAGATTAATTACTTATTTAGTCTTTATAAATCTCTTTAGTCACTACACTCTAAACTCATGAGAACTAAAATAGATGATTTAAAAGTATTAAGGATTAACAGATAAAAACATATCCAATATTGTAGATTTGTATAACATATTTGAGTTGCCTTATCAATGGTTCCTAGACATCCCTAATGATATTGATACAAGGATAATGAGAAATATGGTTGACTTTTGTCCCTGGCATTAGTGTATCAAATAATGTAGCCACCTGCAATGGCAACATAAAAAAGGGAGAAAAAATGGTTGGAAAAATAAAAAAGAGTAAAAGAAGTAAATTATTCAGAGGCTCTCAAATGGGTTGATTAGGGTCATAGATAGCAGTATATCACCATGTCAAAAAGTTTTCATTCAAGCCTTAAAGCATCCCAACTTCAATAATGGTGGCCAGAGAAATGATGCCCATGTGCTGCACATTGCTTTTTTTCCCTTCTGATTTATCTCTATGATCAATTACATTTATTTTTATACATTATCTAAAACTCTATTTTAAAAAGCTTAGAATTTTATATTTTACACCCGCCATATAACACACTATAATAAAGATTCAGAAATACTGCAACTATTGATAACTTATTTTTAAGCCAACTATTGAAAAAATTTCAATCATTATTGTAATCATTTTGTTCCCAAAAGTTCATCAATACAGTATATGTGGGTATGCAGAATGGACAATATACCCGTCAACATGTTTTGGAAGACAAATCTCTGAATACAGCAGTTTCTTACAATGTTTTTTTAATATTGAAGAGACTTCTGTATATGTGCTTTTAAATTAAAAGTTGATTTGAACAAAACTTTTTATGAAATTATTGCATTTTATTTTCCTTATTTATACCTTTTCTAGGTAGCTTTCTACCATTTTTTTAATATAAGATTAGTCTCCTCAATTTTAATTTAGAGATCATAAATGTTCTTTTACCATTCAAAACGAGTAAGAGTGCTATATAACAGTAAAAATAAAAAATATTTAATTCATTTGTATACTTAAATTTTAAAGTCAATATTACCAGTTAAAAAAAATATTTTAGTATCTCTGGCCTAAACTCACCAGTGTTTTACACACAAAAAAGTTTAGGGGTAAATTGAAAAAAATTGCTGATAGAAAGTTAGGTAGCTGATAGAAAAAAATTAAATAAATAATTTTGAGAAGAATGAAAGTATTTGAAGAAGGTGTAATTAGTGAAATAAAGTTATGTATATATATACAGGGGAGCGTACTCTTTTCTGATATGTAGGAAGTGTTATTGGTGACAGAATAATATAAGTGTGGAATCAAAAGACCATGTGTACAATTTTAATACTCTAAAATGGACATTGTGAAATGATAGCATTAGATCCACATTGGAAGCATCATTAGTTGATGAGTGGTCCATTTTCATGATGGAAAAACAGCTTAAACCAAATGAAGAAGAAGCAAAGAAGGTTGTAGAAAAGAGAAAGTTGGGGAAGAAATTGAAGAAGGAAAAGAGGAAGTAGTACTAGAGGTAGTGTGATGCAAGTACCTCCATTGAGAGAAGTGTAACAGAGAGGGTCCAATAAATCTGAACTTGAGCTTGGATGTTCTCTATTGTCTTCTAACTCAACAACACTGCCAACCTACTATCACGTGACTGAGAGAGTACAATAAGTTTTTCATAAGGATCCAACAAGAACTTGATGCAAATATACCACTCTTTTTAATCCCCCAACTAATGTTATGTAGAATAATCAAGGTTGGAAAATATCAAACAGTTTTATCTCTTTAGTTTTCATGTTCGTTTTGTAACATGCCTAAAATTGATAGGTACTTAGCTAACACTGCACCAGTGCACTGCATTGTACTAAGGATGTTTAGTATTCAAGGGTGCCATGATGAAGGGGTGGAACCTATAGAACCTAATTTTTATACAAATGGTAGCAAATCTTGTGTAGTTCAGTGGCAACGTCATCTCCAGTGCATGCATTATTCTTCCAAATCAAAAACGATTTTTCTGTTACAAATTTTTTAAGAGAAAGGTTGTGCTCCGTTCAAGTTCTGGAAATTTTCTGAATTTAAAGCACACTTACCAATGACTAATATACTTGCCTCACATGGAAACATGTAGGGACAAGGACAAAAGATTATAGTCTTGGCATGGCAGTGGACATTCTCGTTAAAGTTGATAAGAAAAATAAGAGATGAACTTGAATGAATTTATTTTAAACATAAAAAGAAAAAGTAAAATTATTTTTATAATATAATCAATCACACACATATATTTAAAAGAGGACAATATGATCCTAGCTGTTCTCACCTTGCATAGGTCCTTAATTCGTGGATATTTTGTCATTTTTGTATTATTTAAGTTTTGTGTGTTCTATTCTTATGTTGGGTCAATTTATTTTCCTTTATTGCATTATAAAATTGACTACCACTTTGCTCCCATACTCATCTTATTTACCCCAATCTTATCTGAATGTAACACCATTTCCTTTTCTTTCTTTTTTTTTTATTATAATTTTTACTTCATATCATGCAATGCAGGTTATATATATATATATATATATATATATATATATATATATATATATATATATATATATATATATATATGAACTCTCAGTCGGAAGGAAATTTGGATTCAACGTTTTGATCATCATATCATATCTCTGCATGGATTTCAAATTGTACAGCCTAAATTTGCTGATTGTTCGTGACATCAATCTCCCATATGCATGCATAATAGTAAAATACTGTATCATTTGATGAGACTAATACCTAATAGATCATCATCAATGCTATTGGCTTTTTGCAGTAAGAAAAACATAAGATGGTACAGGAAAGCTTTCTAATATTTGATAAAATGTTTGAATCAAATAGTACAATAACTTTCATGGTACCAATAATTGTTGCTTATTCTCTTTACACTAATTGAACCCTAAAACAAGTTGATCAAGTAACATATCTAGGTACCATACATACCACAACTTTTCTCTTGGAGAAAGATCCATTGATGTATCCACCACTCTATTGGGTAGACTCCACTTCTGCTACAAACCCTAATATTCATCCCATGAGTGCACCATTGGCAGTGTGTCACATCTCTTTCACATAACCCACATACACATCCAAATACATTACTATCATCCAATTCATTATAGATATACAATACTATATATAAGCAGCATGTGTGTGTGTGTGTATATATATATATAATGTGACTTTGTTTTTGCCATATCATAATCTTTAACTAAAGTGGCAAACATTCTCATTATTCCATAGATGGCGTGTCACCATATTGAGATTATCTTATTAGTAGACTATTAATGCTATATATGCTAATTTATTATTGAGCTAGGTCTTTGCCATTTTAAAAACTATGTTATTAGTAAATGTGCATGCGTAATATATATTATCATATAGTCTTTACCAAATCTAGATGACGTGTCTTCCACCCCATTTTGTGCTTCGTATATATGCTTCGTTCAATCAGCATATACTCTTCAATACGAATCTATTGTATGACGTGTGATGAACAAATATGTCACGTTCCATTTAAAACACTAAGAACAAAAAATTTATTATCATTGATATTGGTTAGTATATATAGAAACATATATGTCATTTTTATTTTACATATTTTTTAATTATGAGGCATGTTTGTTGCCCTGAATTTATGGAGCATGAATTTGATATATAAATTTAGTAAGTCTCACCAAAAAGGTTAGGTATGTTTGGCGTATAAGTTTTAGTTGTAAGTTTTTAATCTTTTAAAGTTAAAACTAATTTTCAGATTTTAATTTGTGGTTTAGTTTTTTGGTTTTAAAAAATTATTGTCGAAGTTATAATTTATAATTTTTGTAGTTTAGTTTATAATGTTTGGCGTAATTTATAATTATTTTGTAATAATTAATAAAAAAGTTTATCTCATGATTACTTAAACTTGCAAATGGGCACAAACTATATACACAGAAAGTTAAATTCAAATGAAAAATAAGCCTGTTTAAACACCTTTGTCAGATTCTGGGTAATCTACTATATCTTTAAATATTTTTAGTTTTTCAAAAAAAGTATTGATACCCTTAATAATTAATAATTCGTGACTAATATTTTATGGCATGTTTTACACAAGTGGATATTGGCAAATACACTAATTAATTGTATTAAGAGATAGCAGTATCCTTATTATAAAAAGAATAACACATAAAATTACAATCTTCTCAATAATTTCAAACACATAATCTACCATGTTTTACATCAAACAATAAAAAATGAGAATTAACATAGTATCCTAATTAAATTTGGACGTGGAATTTCACACAGATTGCAATTCTTTTGAAAATGCAAAGGATCCGTATCCTTTTAAAAGTAATTTCCAAATATCTAAAGTTAAAACCCCAACAGTAACGCCATTGTACCCTTTGATAAAAGACACCTCCTTGCATGTAAAAGTTTGTTTTTCTTGGTAAGAATATAAATTTATCTTAATTCAATTTTACAACACAGTCCATTGAAAAAATTATTGTCTTTGATTTGTATATCATAAAATGAAAAAGAAGGAACAGCTGAATAAATTGTCAGACCTTATAAATTTTATATTTTAAAATGATATTACATTAGCAAGAGATAATGCATTTAAAACAAAATATAGTGATTAAATATTTGATTACTGTTAACAATTTTGCAGACCATGTTAGATTATAAGATAAGCACAGTACAAGAGTAGTGTTTGTTTGTGTTAATGTTAGTGTAACTGATAAATGCTCACACTATGATATAATAAAAGAAGAAAAGAAAGAAACATAGTTTGCAAAAGAAGGTGTGTGGTGGGTCACGGAAAGAGAGAGGAGAATGGCAGTGGCAGCTTTTGCTTTTCAAAGTTTTACTCTTTTTGAACAATTTTATGGGAATGACTGTCTGCAGTGGGAATAGACCAAAGAGACCAAAGTGTGATGGTTATCTTATAGTGGTTTATGGAATCTATAAAGCACATCCATGCCATCACCCAACATTCAATTACAGCACAAAAGACATTACCTTATATTATTTTTTATACCAAACATACCAAAGCTAACATAGATTTTGATGGCAGATCTATAGTGGCTCACCAAATCTAACATCAATCTTGAGCCCCCAGAACTCCAATGTCCTCGAGATTCTCACATTCTCAATACCTTATTATTATTAAATTTAACTTTAGGACTCTACTAAATGGCCAAGCTCCAGACATTTGGATTCTCCACGCAAGCATCAACCATTCATACTAATTGGACTGGATTAACCCATGTCAAGTTTTTGGTAATCCAATAAATTTGACAGAAAAAAAAAAATACTCTAGTAATGTACTGCTGATGAATCAAACACGTAGGATTTTGGTTCTTTGCACCCAAAAGGAATAAAGCACTATGGTATTATTCTTTTGTTCTAAATGTGTCTGCACAATATTCATTAATAAAATCTAATGATATCTCTCATGCGCCAGTACTTTTTTTTTTATTTTTTTATTTTTTGCTTTAGCTACTACTTTGCTGATGCATATATAGTTTCAGGAAAACTTCTTTATGCTTTATGTGCATGTGCATGATTAAGTAACTCTGAAGTGAATTTCCTGTTTTCTCCCTGCCACATATACCGCTGAAATTTTTACCTTGAATCGGTTTATTCATCCGTTGTTGTATTAAGATTAAGGCCATTATATATAATATTTTGTTTACAGCTTCCTGACTCAGTGACAGGCATGCTACTTCTCTTTATGCTGTCTAAAAACATGTCTTTTTTCTCCCCCTTGGTCTGACACAAGATTTTTCGGTGAATGAGATTCTAGCATGGAAAGAAGGTAGTGAGTTTCTTTTCTTATTTTGAACACCACAGTGATGAAAGAACATCCATTTGAGAAGTGTTAAAGGTTCCATATTTACATCTTTATTGATTGAAGCTAGAAGCCTCAGCCTCAGCCTCAAGTGAAGTGTACTTGCATCTTGTTCCTTGGAAATTCCAATTGAATGGGAACGCCAAGAGGAATAACTCTTCTCTGTTTCACATTTTTCTTGTTTTGGAGCTCCGCAGATGCTTTGCTTTCTCCCAAGGGAGTGAACTTTGAAGGTAAACTTGAAATTTTGCTCCTGCTTTCCATTTGTTCATAGCTTCATGATTATCAGGGTTTTGAATTGGGTCTCTTTTCAATGCAGTGCAAGCCTTAATGAGCATAAAAGATTCTCTAGGGGATCCACATGGTGTTCTAGATAATTGGGATGGGGATGCAGTTGATCCATGTAGCTGGACTATGGTCACATGTTCTTCAGAAAACTTGGTCGTTGGACTGTGAGTCTTCCTTCAATCTTTTAATTAAGTTGATGAAAGACTGTTTGAAGTTTGAACATTCCCCAGCAGGTGTACCAGTTCGTGGTGCAAATTGATTCCAGCTTTAGATGAAACTTTTGTGTTGTTTGGTGCAGGGGCACTCCAAGTCAAAGTCTATCTGGTACTCTATCTCCAAGCATAGGCAACTTAACAAACCTTCAGATTGTGTAAGTAATTACAAGGCTTTATGATAATTTAGTACTCTCAAGATGGATGCTTCTTATTGACTAAGAGGGGCGTTTGGACTACTTTTCAGGCTGCTACAGAATAACAACATTAGTGGACCAATCCCATCAGAGCTGGGCAAACTTCCTAAGCTTCAAACCCTTGATCTCTCAAACAACTTCTTCAGAGGGGAGATTCCTCACTCTCTGGGACACCTGAGAAGCCTCCAATACCTGTAAGCGCATATATGAGCTAGGATTTGATATCTTGAGATGAAGCCATTTTCAGTATCAATCTTTGATGTCCAATGCTAAAAGTTCCCTAAAATTGTTTCAGGAGGCTCAATAATAACAGTCTTGTTGGTGAATGCCCAGAGTCTCTGGCCAACATGACCCAGCTTAATTTTCTGTAAGACACATGAACACTTCTGTTTTTTACTTGTATCGTATGCATTATTTTAGTTTATATTTCCAGTTTTGGTATTCCTAAAGATTTTTCTTGTTTTGTGATTATATTCAGCGATTTGTCATACAACAATCTTAGTGGCCCGGTGCCCAGAATTTTGGCCAAATCATTCAGGTAATTCTCTCTCTCTCTGTGATGTATGTGCATTTCTGCTTGAAAGGAAAACGGAAAATTGGGCGCTGATTGATAGCTTATTTACATTCCTTTTTATTGTTTCAGCATTGTTGGAAACCCCCTTGTTTGTGCCACAGGAAAAGAGCCAAACTGCCATGGGATGACATTGATGCCTATGTCCATGAACTTAAACAATACCGAACGTAAGATCTTGTCGGTGTTGCTCATGTTTTTTAAAATTGATTGTTTTTCCAAGCATTGTGTGACTTTCCCATGTACTAGTGCTCTGATACATTCTACGTAGTCTTTGTTTTGACGCTGACAGCAATATCTTTGCTTCCCTAGATGCTTTACAATCAGGCAGACCAAAAACTCATAAAATGGCAATTGCCTTTGGCTTGAGTTTGGGATGTCTCTGCCTCATTGTTATTGGTTTTGGAGGTGTTATTTGGTGGAGGCACAAACGCAATCAACAAGCATTCTTTGATGTTAAAGGTACTTTGCAATTGCATACCTTAAACTCGGATCAATTTCAAATATACATCATTACCCAAGAATGTTCCTGTGCATTAAAAGCCAACAATTTGAATTCAAGTATGGTATTTTCTCATATTTATGACCTTTTTGTTGACTGTTTCAGACCGGCATCATGAAGAAGTCTACCTTGGAAACTTGAAGAGGTTCCAATTCAGAGAACTTCAGATTGCGACTAACAACTTCAGCAGCAAAAACATACTAGGAAAGGGTGGTTTTGGAAATGTCTACAAAGGAGTTCTCCCTGATGGTACTCTTGTAGCTGTCAAGAGGCTTAAAGATGGCAATGCCATTGGAGGAGAGATTCAATTTCAGACCGAAGTTGAAATGATCAGCCTGGCAGTGCACCGAAACCTCCTCAGACTCTATGGATTTTGCATGACATCAACAGAAAGGCTTCTGGTTTATCCATACATGTCCAATGGCAGTGTTGCTTCCCGTCTCAAGGGTAAGCTCAGCTGTAAAATTTCATACTCAAATTAGACTATCTGATTTAGCGTTAGTTAGGAAAACATATTCTGTTTTCACTTTTCAGCAACAACAAAGCTTTATCTTAATAGGCGATTGACTATACACCACGCCATTCAGCTTGATTAAAGATCAAAGATGTATTATAAATTTGCAAAAATAACTTTGAAAATATCACCCTTATGTTTTCAAATAGTGTTTTCAGAGTAACAAATATTTGAAAATAACACAAAATGTGAGATTTCTTATATTATTTGTGAAAACGAGAAATGAAAATAGAAACATTTTATCAAGGCAAATTGTAACTAAGGATTCTAATACCAAATTGGTGGTTGTCAGGTAAACCAGTGCTGGACTGGGGCACTAGAAAGCACATTGCTTTGGGAGCAGCAAGAGGACTACTGTACCTTCATGAGCAATGTGATCCAAAGATAATCCATAGGGATGTGAAAGCTGCCAACATATTGCTTGATGACTACTGTGAAGCTATAGTTGGAGATTTTGGGTTGGCAAAGCTTTTGGATCACCAAGACTCACATGTGACAACTGCAGTGAGGGGCACTGTAGGGCATATTGCCCCAGAGTACCTATCCACAGGACAATCCTCTGAGAAGACTGATGTCTTTGGATTTGGCATTCTCCTCCTTGAATTGATCACAGGCCAGAGGGCTCTAGAGTTTGGAAAATCAGCCAACAACAAAGGAGCCATGCTTGATTGGGTGAGTTTGTCTCCCTTCATTCATCAAAACTCTTTCCCTTTATCTTAAACCAAATGGTAAGTCTAAGTTCTCATATTGTTGACATTCAGGTAAAGAAAATTCATCAGGAGAAAAAGCTTGAAATGCTAGTAGACAAGGATCTCAAGAGCAACTATGACAGAATTGAGCTTGAGGAAATGGTTCAAGTGGCCCTCCTGTGTACTCAGTATCTTCCAGGGCATAGGCCTAAAATGTCTGAAGTAGTACGCATGCTTGAAGGTGATGGACTAGCAGAAAGATGGGAAGCTTCACTAAGAGTTGACACAACAAAGTGCAAACCCCAAGAGTCCTCTTCATCAGATAGGTATTCTGATCTCACTGATGACTCTTTGTTGTTAGTCCAAGCCATGGAACTCTCAGGACCCAGATGAATCAATTGTCTAGTAGTACATTTTTATTTTTGTTTTAAAGGTTTTTAAGAGAAAGCATATGAAATTCAGAGCATATGATAGTTGAATCGTTGTTACAATGTTGTATGATAGAGATCTACCAAAGCCGAAAACGGCTTTGGTAATGTTTACTTTCAAATGTACAGAATCTCATTCGTTGAATGTTAACTTGGTAATGCAAATTTTGTAATATTATTATTAAAAATGAATTGCAGTGAAACATCCTGTGATTGTATGAACAATGATCTCAACTTGCCTTCTTTAGTTTTTTTTCTTTTCCATCTTACATTTCAAGCACTACAAAAAGTTGTTACCATTATTTGTCTTGATACCATTAACTAATAGACAAATTAACTGAACGTTAGAGACTGAAAACTGATAATTCACCCTGAATTAAAAATATTTGACAAAAATAACTATAAATCAGTTGATAAATATAATATGAAATATCATATATAAAAAAAAGGATTAGAACATATTATTGAGAAGCACAAAAGAGGGAAAAGTTATATTAAGAGTTTGTAAACTCAAATTTTGAGTGAAGGAATATTTCAGCAAATGTTTCCTAAACATGTTTAACCTCTTATTTTCATCAGGAACATGATAACTTGATGTTCTTATGAGCTACTCTTTCCCAAATTGTGAACCTTCAACTCCATTTAAATCATTTTCACCATAATCAATCAAATTTTGCAATCAAGAATCCAAACAAATGCCCGAAATGGAAAGGTTGTAGAGTTCGTTAACATGAAAATATCGAGAGGCTTGCCTCAAAGTAAACTCATAATCCATTTTAATGAAAATGTGAAGCACTTAAGTGGTCCCATGGTAAGGTGCAACGGTCCTTTTCTTTGGTATTTGATCCATTTAGGTTTGTCCCGCCGGAAGGTGCAATGCTTTTCTCCGTTCATGGCTAAATAACTTTATTTTTTTTTTCTTTTTAAGGGGTCATTCTTTCTATTTAAAGCTTGGCATAAGTGGTATACCCTTTCACCTAACAATACGTTTGTCAAAGTTAACCCACACCTCTTTTCCCATTACCCTAAACCAACACCACCAAGAAAATGAGTGTCCCATTACCCTATGTCAAAATTCAAATGAAATATGTACAAAGTTAAATACTTTAAAAATTATAGCTTGTTGGGGGTATGCTAGTGCGAAATATTTTACAAGAAAATGGAAGAAAGAACAGATTTTTCGTTTCGAATAACTATTATCTAATTCGATCACTTTAAAGTAAAATGAGAAATTTCTGAGGCTTCATGGTCCATGGGCTTTTTTTGTGTGAAAGGAAGATACATCATTGAATTAGTGAGGCCTCATGGGCCATGGTCATTTTGGGCCTCCAGGCTAGAACTGAGATTATTTTAGAAAAATAATAATTTGCAAACGGGTAACCTCTTCAGGGATGGGCCACCTTTCTTGGATTTCAATCAAAGTTTTTTTTTTTTTTTCTAATCATGTATAGAAATTAAAATTCAATCAAAGTAAGCGCTAGAAAAAAAAATGAAAATGAAATGAAGCTTATGTAATTTCATAATTATATTATTTTTATAGATAAATAATAATTTTTAATGTTACTAAAGAGACTCACCCACAATCTTATTTTAACCATCAAATCAACGTTATATTTCCATTACTTTTTCTTCTCAATTAACTAGTGCCAAATTTGTTTGTTTCTTGTATTCTATGATAAAAGTTGACCTCTCTCTCTCTCTCTCCCAAGTTTGTGGGTTGAAATGGTTGGTGCAATTGTGCGGCTCTCATTTGATGTGGCTTAACATCAAAAGGAAGCAGTTTAATTGATAACAAAATCTAGCGGCAAACCATGTCCAACACTGTGATCTCCACAATCTTTCCACGTCACATGCCATTTCCTGAGTTTTGAGCCACAAGTTTTGCCCTCACACCAATTCCATGGTCGACGTCGCAATCAAAAGGGTCAGGTCCACACAGTGACCGAGCATATCTTCATTGTCGCCAACCCCAGAAATTTTGTCAGTGTTTATCTTAATTGCATTCCTCAACCCTTCCAAGATGCTCACTCTTTTTCGCCAGCTCTCACAATCCTTTCATCAACATTAACTCATCACATGCATGGGCCACACTATTTTCCCATGCAATTCATACCAATTCTTCTCTAATCAACTATTCTTCATCACTTCAAATTCCTAGCTACTTATCCATGCATGATCATCGTGTTGAAAATATATATACATCATGTTTCTGCATCGATGGAGTATATTTTTCATCATATATTTACTCAATTTTAAAGTTTAATTTACAATATTCTTATATCAGCATCCATCAAATCAATCCATGAGTGAAAAGTCAAAAGACTTTTTTACATTAACGGAATATACGAAGATATATATTACATTCAAGCTTTTGGTTCTTTCTCACTGTTCTAGAGTGGGTTTTAAATTAACTTAATTTATATTAAAAAGTTATAATGAACGTTTATTCAAAGTAATAAAAATGATTTTACTCTTAAATATGGTTATTAAAATCGAAGATGCATTAATTATCCCTTCATTAAAATTGATATTCGCAAACATTGGGATGAGGGGGAAAGGCACGTCCATGTTTTGTTGGAGAAGCAATTGACGAAAATGAAAAGGTGTTTAGTGACCGAAAAGCCATGTGAAGAGAAAAGATAAGAGTGAGCCCTAGGAAGACAGGACCACCAACCCCTTTCCTTGTGGTCTACATGCATCCTCATCTATTCCCTTCTTACGTGCCACCCTCTTATTCCATTTTCTAATTTTCTCCAACTTTATCTCTCACTTCCTTCCACCTCATCATGCACTCTCACAGTACCTTCAAACATCTCACCTTCATATGTACTTCGAAACATATAGTTAGAAATTTTATTAATTAACCTCTCTAGACTCTTTCCTTTCCATTGGTAGGCAAAAACATAGTTACAGAACATGTTTTCATGTTTCTATACATCTAATTGAGATGTTAATATATATAGGCCAAGATTCAGTGATAACTTCATCAGTGTGTCATAACCCTAACTAACTTCATTCTGTCTCAATATGCCAACTAGTCTTCTTCTCTCATTCTTGACTGTAATTTGTCTTTGAGGATGCAGGAACATTTTCAGTAAAAATTGTTGCCCCCACAGTTTATTGATGTGTACTAAGTGCCTCACACCATGCTCCACAACTTGAATGTTTCAATCTCTTTCTGTCATTAAAACTTACTACACATTATACCAACAATATTTTCAGCATGTGGGTGGGTCTGCTTCATAATTATTATTTTAACAATTATTTTAGTGTTTTGACAAAAAAAATAACATAGACCCTGTGAAATTAATACATCTACACTACACTTGCCTAACGTATACGTACTTACCTGTTTACAAGAAATTATTAGATTACTTTTCATATTAATTGGCCCAACTGCCAACTTCCCAATCCATTATGTTTGCCCAGGATTGGACGTTATTTATTTCTTGTATGCCCCAAACAATGTCTACTTGTTTGTAATCAATCCAAGATGTGGCTCACGCCAAATTTTAGTCACGAATTTATTGTATGAAAATTGGGATACGTGCGTACTAATTGTATAAAGTTATTTAATCATATACCCCAATCATTTCGCGCATGACTTAAAAATTGTTTTAGCAATATAATATAAGAAGATGGAACTCAAATCAGAATATAAAATTCATGAAAATAAAAGATAACACACAAACAAAAGAAATATTATAAAAGATAAGAGACAAAAGAAAAAATAATGACTTTGTATATTGATCGTACCAATCATTACAAATTATTTATAATCTATACGGTGAGAGTAGGGGAGACTACAAGGGAAGATGGAGTTTCATTAGGATGAATGAAAAAGGACTGGATGGATTTAGACTTGGGTAACGGTTTCAGAATTAGAGGTAGCAGTGGTATTAGAAAACGATAATGATGTCATTTTACAAAAAGGTATTAGCAGAGGTTCAAGAAGGAGTTCTAATCCCATAAAAGATAACAGACAAAGAAATGGAATATTATAAAAGATAACAGATAAAAGGGAATGTGATGAATGAATTTCTGTGTGTATTGATCATGTGAATCATTACATTATATACAATGTATATGCTGTATGAATAAGGATAAAAAGAATAATCCTAAAATATATACATCTTATAAAACTTCATGGAATAAACAAACTATTTATAATCTGTAAAACAATTTTTTGTTTGAAAACCCGAATTATTGGGTTCTTCTTCTTTTAAAAAATACAATTTAAAACTAATGACGTAACATTGATATCGTATCATTAAAAAGTACGAGCTAGTTAATTAGAAAATGAAAACTACGCCAGGATTCAAATCCTTCTCTTGTAACGAGCAAATATAAACACTAATAGCAACATCTCATGCAGAATTTCGTGCTCTTTGACCTTCAGATATGCTCTTTTTTACTTGATCTGGATCTTTATCTACCACATGTATTATGGAATGTTGAGATTTTCCCTTTGACTCAAAACAACAAAAACAAATTGGATGTGAGTTAGCTATCACATAATAAAGGTCTAAAGAAGAAGGGAAGAGAGCACGTGGTCTCAGGATCTTCATTTCTGGATGTAATTGAACCCATCCCCACCCCATGTACTAGTAATAAGATGGATCGATAATTATTTAATAATATTTTTGGATAAAATATGTATTAATTATTTTTGAATGAGTGTTATCAATGACTGTTCTTCTGTTTGTGTTATAATTAACAGCGTAGATTAGATATGTGGATAATGATAGGTGGATGTAGGAAGTGTTAATGAGGACTATTCAAAAGGGGTGACGTAGGGGGTACGTGATGCTGAGATTGACCAATAAATAATGCATAAGTGATAGACATGACCCAATTCTTCAATATTCCAAGTTCCAACTCCATTGAAATGAAGCACCTCTACCTCTACCTCTACCTTACCCTCCTTCGCCTTCTAGTTCTAGTGCTAGCTAGATACTCTTTTAA